GTCACTTGGGAGAAGAGACCAGCCCGCCCTCTCTGCACCCGTCTTTCAGGGAGCTGTAGGGAGCGATAAGGTCTCCCCTGAGCCTCCTCTTCTCCAGGCTGAACCCCCCCAGCCCCCTCAGCCGTTCCCCATGGGAATTGTGCTCCAGACCCTGTAGTTAGTGGCTGTGGTAGTAGCTACGTGCTAGGTGACACAGTGGGGTTGGTGTCTGCCAGTGTCTGTCTGAGGTTTCACTGTCCTGGCCGGAGGAGGAGAACCTGCAGGGTTCACGAAGATGTCTTCTTGGCTTGGGATGTAGCTTTGGTGTTCATCGTGGAGTTTGTGTGTGTCCTGGAGAAGGGAGACCCAAAGCTTTGCTGTGGGAGTGGGAAGTTCGTGACAGACTCCAGCTCCCAGGGAGTCTCTTGGTGTTTGACCTGAGTTGGCTCTCCGTGGCAGCTGGGTTTCCTCGAGAAAAAGGGGGCAGGAGGAGCAACAGACAACTTCAGCTGTGGGGCTGTGGTCAGCCCTTCCGCTCCTGCATCTCCTCAGGGTGTCCGAAAGCTCCACCACTTGTTCGCTGAGAGGAGGAGACCGGTGAGGGGGCTGAGGTTCATTTGGCCGTGCTCCAGCTCCGCTGCCTGCGGTGGGATGCTGGTGGTGCTGTGGGTTTGCACGGGTGGTCTTGCGGGGTCTTGAAAGTCTTCCTTGACCACGTGCGCTAAAAATTGCGAGTAAACAGTTCAGGGGAGGATAAAGTTCAGCTGTGTGAGTGGAGGGGTGTTCTTTAAATTATATAATAGTGGTGCCAGGCAAGGTTACAGCTTTCAACCCAGCTGGAAGGGGGGGAAGTTCTCATGAGCTGGTCTGAAGGCTGAAAAATGAATAATGTTTTGTTACATCAGGGCATTATTTTTTGACATGTAATACATTAAGTCAGCTTTATAACCTCCATTTTTTATGGATAAGATGGTGGGACTACTTTCTTTTCTTTCTTTTCTTCCTCTTTTTTTTTTTTACCATGGCTGAGGAACTGCTAGTTAATTAGGGCTAAATCCTACATAATCTGACTAATGGGACAAGAATCTAAATCAGCCTCAAAACTCAAATAGTCCCAAACAGGCACCAGTTGCTTTTCTCTTCTTGTCTTTGTGCGTGTGGATTCCCATCGCTCCTAACACATCCCTTGGGGACCGCTGCGATGGCCAGGCAGCCCCAGGGAGACCTGGATGCATCTCCACGGCCGCTGCCCTGGGGTTGGCTTCGTTTGGCACGTTGGTTTGCTGGCACTGGAGCAAGTTCACAACATCCCTTCTGCGTCTGCTGCCAGTCCCGGTGTCAGAAAGGTGGAGCTGGCAGCGCTCCCCTCCCAGAGGAAACATGGAGCAGTTGAAGGCTTGAGACGCTCGTGGTGAAAACCCTCATTGTGTATGACAGCCGAGCAGTGGATTTTTGAGTCTGTCAGTTCTCAGCACCCTCGGTGGTGCCAGTGCAACCCAGCCTCCTGCTTTCCAAAGGTTAACGGGCAGGTGGGATGAAATTGGGCTGTGCAACACGCGGGGTGATGCACGTGTGGGTTGGCAGCAGAAATGCCTGCGCGACGCGGTGAGCCGTGTATGTGGAAATCGCTGGATAACACGACACCCCGACGGGGAAGATGAGTGCGGCGGTGGGACACAGCGGGAGGGGTGGTTCTGGTTGAGGATGAGAAATGTTAGCATCACTGTACGCGTTCCTGGGGAGACCCGTCTGATATCCTCCATATGTCCCTGTCAGCACCCAGAAAGAGGGATTCAACCTGGCACGGGTGGAGGGCATGGCTGCTGGGATAAGCAGGGAGGGGAGGCCGGAGCGGTTTGCCTTGAAGTATAGATGAGAAGGGATGTAACTGTACAAGTAGAACAGGAGGGTCTGTGAACAGGTAAAATGCTGGCTTAGGAAAATAATGAGTAAGTGTAGGCTGGGCTTGAAAAATAGACGTTAAAATAGTGCTTGTGAGAAAGCACAAGGCTGCAAGAATTGGGCTTGTTCAGCCTGGAGAAGAGAAGGCTCCGGGGAGACCTTATAGCACCTTCCAGTGCCTGAAGGGGCTACAAGGAAGCTGGGGGGGACTTTTTACAAGGGCCTGTAGTGACAGGACAAGGGGTAACGGGTTTGAATTAAAAGGGGGGAGGTTAGATTAGATATCAGGGAGAAATTCTTCCCGCAGAGGGTGGGGAGGCACTGGGACAGGTTGCCCGGAGAAGCTGTGGATGCCCCATCCCTGGAAGTGTCCAAGGCCAGGCTGGATGAGGCTTGGAGCAACCTGGTCTAGTGGAAGGTGTCCCTGCCCATGGCAGGGGGTGGGACTGGGGGGGCTTTAAGGTCCCTTCCCACCCAAACCATTCTGTGATTCTGTGATAAGCAGAGATCGCTCTCTGTGTTCGGGTGTATATGAAGCTCTGATGAAAGGCTTTGGCAGGTGCCTTGAGCAGGCGTCAACCCACGGCCTTCCCCGTGGCTGACGTATGGACGTGGCGAGGAAGTGACGTCTCAGAGCTGCGTAATGGAGCCTTGTGCTGTGGAGATGGGGTTCATGACCAAGGCTACACGGGCAGTGCCCAAACACAACCGCGCGACGCTCGTTAGGACGTGCTGGAGAATAGCGAGAAGGTTCCTCGTGTTTTTCAAGTCATTGTGAGAACGAGACAAAAAGTATCGTGTGCCTAGAAAAAGCCTTTCCCAATATGCACAAATATTGATGGAGATGCCTCCAAAGGCCTGCAGATTTTTCCACTTTATCTGCCTTACACATGCAAGATGTTCTCCTAAACGGCCAGTAAAAGCTAAAATGTTTTTTTAAAAGCCTCTTAAAAAATTACACATTTCTATATTTACTGCTGCTCTTTAAATAGGATTCTGACATTTCCTCCTGAAGGGTTTTGGGGCCATCACTGTCACAGGTACATCGGCCTAAGCAGGAAGGGGACGATTCCCCTGGGCCGGACGGCTGCGCCGGCACCGGGAGCACTATGGAAATGAAGTCACACTGTAGCCGGGCTGATCCATCTCCCGCTGGAAGCAAGGGCAGAGCCCACATTGCAAACCAGTGCAGTTTGGGCTGTAGCCTGGGCCAGAGGGAAAGGTTTGCCATCACTCCTGCGATTGTGGAAAGTCAGGAAAGTGTGTGCTAGGGTGCTAAAGTGGGATCCAGCGTTGCCTTCATCACACTTTTCTGTTGTCTTTTAAGCAGATGCAACACCCTCTCACTGCTTTCTTTCCCGTTTAGGTGCTTCTGATCATAAGTGGCAACCTGAGCTTCCTCAACTGGCTCACCATCGTGCCCAGCATCGCCTGCTTCGACGACGTCAGCCTGGGGTTCCTCTTCAGCTCCAGGCGAGGCGGGGTGAAGGAGCGGGTGGTGCAGATGCAGCTCAGGGAGGCAGCCAGCGAGCAGCTTCCCCTGCGATACGGTGAGTTATTCCTGGAGGCAGGAGAGGTTGCAGAGAGGTGTGTTTGGTGTGCTTGTCTCAAACTCTCATCTCCGGGAGCAAACCTGGGTGGGCAGGGGTGTAGCTCTGCCCCTGCATGGTCTCCTCTGTGGGTTGGAGGGTCCGTGGACCTCCCACTGCAAGCGGTGACCCTGGAGCCAGTGGGTGGTTTGTAAGGGGTCATTGCCATGGGGGAAACGCCACGGGGGCACTGCTGCTGGAGGGCTACAGCTCTCCCACCTCTCCGCCTGAGAGTCATTGCTCCTTGTTCTCACCCTGGGAGCATCAGACTCCAACCCAAAATAAGCAATGTGGAATTGCACCCTTTATCTTGTAATTTCCCTTTTTTTTTTTTCCCCTCCTTTCTTGGTTTTTTTGACTATTTAAAGTCAAGGATGAAACACCCAGTGGTGTCTGGGGCGAGGGTTTCGTGTTAGAAGCAGATGCTCGTGGGCACTGCTAATGAGGAGGGGAGATTCATACGGTGAATACAGAAAAGCAAATACAAGAGTGTTTGTAACTGAACAAAAGGGATCAGTGTGGCTGATGTGTCCTTCTGACGGGAGTTTTCCAGCAGCCCTGTTCCAGATCATCTGCACAAGCAACACGGGGATATTTTTCATGGGGCTCCGTAACAGATGTAGAGTTGTGTTTGTAGTATTTTTATAAACCGCATATAAGCAACAAATTGCCTATAATATCAACAACGATCACAGATGCTCATTTTTAAACATACTAAACATCTGTCAGAAGAGTGAAAAATGTCAACAAGATGCAGCATCTGTCTCTGGTCCTTCCTCATCTACCACGAAACAGCTTATTAACCTGAAGTGTTAGTTCCAACGAGGCTAATGCAGTTTCATTAAACTTTCTGTGTCTCCTACCTTAAATATTTTCCTGGGAGAAATCTTTAACGGCGTCTCCCCTCCGGTAGCTTCGCTCGAGGGGCTGTGAGAGCCTGGAGCTTTCCTACCGACTGTGTTTTTGCATCCGGTCCCAAAAGCCGCTCAAGTTGCACCTTCCTTTCTGGAGGAGAAGGCAAAGGGCATGTCTTTGCTATGTCACTCGGTGAGTCACCGTGAGGGGGAGGTAGATCCTGGTTTTTGAGGATCTTGCTCCTTTTTGGTGGGGTTTTCCAGAAAAACTTACTGAGGCAGGGTGCCTGGGCAAGGAAAGCCATCCATATTTACCACCAGGCCGCATTGCAGATGTGTCCCTGTTCTGGGCTTTTAAAGAGGAGTAATCTGTAAGTAAAGGGTAGGGTATCTGTAGTGTTCTAGGTGAATTTGGATTTCT